TTTAGTTTGATGAGGAGTGTAACTATGCAGAGATACAATAGCAGATAAGAGTGACAATGAAACTAACTGCATGTAAACTGGATTTATTACGAATAGCGAAGACATGTTGTATTGTTCCTATATATCGGATGCTCTAAACTCAGCCAGTCAACGCTACGCATGAGCGCTATATATTGTTACAATGTGAACAAAAAACTCCGTTATTACAGCAAAGAAAGCACGCCTAGTAGCGAACAAAGAATTGGGAGAATTTCTAGCCAGTCTCTACCTAACTGGGTAGTGGGATCCCTCGTGCAATGGGCAGAACTGCTCAATTCAGCGAAAAGCCGGCTTTCACCTACACCTAGGAAAGGACCTCAGTAATGGCGTTGGGAAGAGGGCAGCGAAATGAGGGCAGCAAAAGTGCGCCGCTACGCGGCATTTGAGCGCTTCGCGCAGATATCCGGCTGCAGATCGTCTAGATGGCCATTTTCATTTTTGTCAAAAAGTGGGCATGGCTCGAAAGTAGGTCAACTGGCGTGCTCCAATATAGGACGTGCAAATCTCTCCCATAGGAGTAACAACTGTATGCAATTTGAAACATGTGGGTCAAACGGTTCTTGAGTTATCGTTGATCGTAGGCAGACACTGAAATGCATGGTGAAATTGCCAAAATCTACCTAATTTGCATAATTTAAAAGAAATATCAAAATTTGTGTGATATGTTTTGGGGCCAGTTCTTATTCATTCACATGCCAAAAATGAGCAAAATTCATGGAACCTGAACTGACTTATGGCCATTTCCATTTTTGCCAAAAAGTGGGCGTGGCTCGAAATTAGGTCAACTGGCGTGCTCCAAAATAAGACGTTCAAATCTCTTCCATAGGAGTAACAACTGTATGCAATTTGAAACATGTGGGTCAAACGGTTCTCAAGTTATCGTTGACCGTAGCCAAATGTTGACGGACGGACGGACGGACGGACGTACGACGAACGACGCCCCATGGCAATAGCTCATCTTGACGATGTCAAGGTGAGCTAAAAATGTGCCCAACGACATGCGTGTCTCATTATACTTACCTCTCCTGGAATGACTGCTTGATAATTTTCGTATTCATCACCATGTTGGTCTAAGCGGTTCATTAGAAACCTTGAGAGATAAAATTATAATTAATCACTGTTACAAACATTACTAACCTTTACAAGGCAGAAAACAGCAAATGTGATGTTAAATTCAACACCACTACAGCTGTAATTCATGATCTGCATGCAGTGTGTTAGCCAGAGACCTGTCTAACCGTCTTTTGGATGACCTATTCTTGCCGGATGAGATGGATGCAATTTGATAGAGACGGCATGAGGGCGGCCCAATTATTTATATATTATACACCTTGTATAACTGACAACAATGCTTATAAGAATATAAAACCATATCATGATTCCTGTCTTTTTGCCATTTCAGACTGAATTTCCTCCATTTTAAGGTAAGGCTCTCCCCCTACGGCGCTTCGCGCCTGCAGCATCCTCGCTTTGCTTAGATGGTGAGACTCCCTGATTTTTTTTCCTGGCTAACACCCTGTCTGCATGACTATTACATGTGTACACAGGTCTAATGGCATGGCATGTGTACCACAGACACGTTCACTCTATGTAACATACTAGATACTACAACCAAATATCTATGTCATCTTATTTAAATAATAGAGGTGATATAAAAGAGGGAGTTGGCAGTAGTTAGAATCAAGGAAGAAGATACAAAAGGTGGAAGAAACGGAATAGGTGGGATGGGTAGAGGAGGGGCAAAAGTACAAAAAAGAGTGGGTAGAGAACTGTAATAACTGCTCGCTGGTCAGCCATTTATTCTCCAAGCTTCGATCCCACAATGCAACTGTTTGAACATAACAATTAGAGCAGTCATCGTCTGATAGCAGAATACTACAAAAACTTCTTCCATTCCCTCCACCTTCTCCCCTCTAGTACCCTCTCTAGTGCCTTTAGCTCTACCTTTTCCTGTTTCCTTCCATCCCTACCCTTCATCTATTTCCTCCTAGTCTATGCCAATTATAATCATACAATTTCTAACTTGCAGTGACAATCAGTTCCGTGCAATATCTGTTTGGAAAAATATATATAACCGATGACTTCAAGCAATGATCAGAGCATGTGTAAACTAGGAAGTACTAGGAAGACTATCAACCCAAAACATGGTTCTTGTGCTTGCACAAATATATATATCAACACTGTACCTTCTTTCTTTCTTCAGTCTGTTTGTAAGTTTTCTCATATAGTGTTTTCTATTTGCTAGCCTTTCATTATCCTGTAACAAACAAAACCAATGACATAACACTAGGCCTATAGTTGGGCCTGGCCTGTAAATTATTGAATGTTTTAAAGGTAGCTTCCCTCGAACTTTCCACGTAAATTTGTGTAACAAACCACTGTAAAAACGTCAGTAAATAACTCACTACACTTTAACTGACGTTAGCTTTGAAAATAAAACTGTACAAATATATGTATCAAGCCTAATCAAAGAAACAACTAAAAAAACTCTTTTCGCCGCGGTTCCGTAGGCGCCAGTGTTTATACTTGAGCAACCATCATTTCAATCGAGTCAATGTAGCCACTTTCAGATATCATAACTTTTAACATAAATCATTTGATGAAATCAAACTTTGTAGTCTAGACAGAGAGGCACCTCGACTGTTTATGTTATTAATTTCAGAATTTTTACCGTAAACGTTTTCGAGATAGAACGTGCTAAAAACCCAACAAAACGTAATCCGAACTAACAGCGACCTGACAGAACTCGTTAACTTGCTGAGAATACTATACAGAGTGGCTATATGCCCGGCAACCGGCATATATCTGACGGCTGCCAGGCACGGTCTTCGATTTCCTAAATGCCCGGCAGTTTTTAATTTTCAGCGTTATCTCAAGTAAACAAGG